TGTGACGTCATCGTTAATTCATGAACATGGAATCGCGAGCGCGCATATAACACAAAAAATGATACGAAATGAAAACGACGTCGTTGTCGTTTCTGATCACAAGAGCCGAACGATAATATCGCGGTGTATGTATTTGCAAGCGCGTATGTGTATACATGATGGTGTGCTCCGTTGCAGCCGATAAAATGCTTCACAAGATTCATGTAACACGCTGCTAGTTTGGCAGACTCAGAGCACAAAACGTATGCGCTTTGTTTTTTAGCTGCTGCTGCTACGTTATAACACGGTATATTGTACAAACATAACTACGAATCTGACAACAACGATACCTTTTTTTTCATTCTCTGGCATATCTCTTGGCTCAATTCATTCGCAATATCGCTTTCATAATACATTTTCGACCGAGTAACAAATAATCCAGTCTCTCCGTTGTTGTATAGCCGTGTGCGCGTGAATGTGTGTTATTGCTTTTGGCGCTCTTTCTCTCTTTCTCTCGCTCTGTTTACAAACGATATCGATGAGACTACCAGACCCACGTGGTCGATTTCAATACCTGCGTTACACACACAAGCGCAATCTATTTGTATATAAGGCAATATAAACTGCGCATCGCATACATGCACATAATCACTCGCAATCGTTCGCTTTATGAAGCCATTCGATGTAAACAAATGAATGCGCCTTGCAATTTTTTCAAGTACACACATCCACAGGCGCGCATTCGACGTACGCAACACTATATATATAGTAATAATGAACAGAAATAGAAATGTGAGAAAAGACACACACAGAGAGAGAGAGAGAGAGACAAAGAGAGAGAGAGAGAGTGAGAAAAGAAGCAAGACAAAAAGGCCTTGAATACATACTTGGAATGTGTAGTTTTTTTTCTCTTGTTCGTTTGCACATCGTTTCGAATTTATATGAACTACACGCACTCATCGCGATGTTATTTAGTGATATAATCGGAATTTGTTTTTATTTATGCTGGAATCTTGTAACTTTCGACATTAATTGAAATTAATTAGCAAAACTGATTAATTGAATTAATGCATTCGAATGAGTGTATTAATTTTTTAAAATTCAATTTTATTGAAATGCCATTGAGTCAATCGACTGTGGCTCATAAATCATCGTTACATCCCTAAATCAAAACATGATTGATTTTACACGAGATCTAATTTATATCATATGGTTTGGGTGGCTTTTAAAAAAGCGTTTATAAATGACGTTTTAGCTTTCGTCATTCGTATTCAATTGCATAGCAACTATTAATAAAAAATAAAGTAATACAACTCGAAACTCTATATTAAAACGCAACATAACTGACTGTGGTGCAACTTCTAACATACAACTTGTAATAAGTCACAAAATACATGTCTCTTCTTTTCCATGTGTGTTTCTTTGCAACGTATGATTTGTTTGAGTAAAGTACATATGTAATTTAGGCAAATCGAAGCACCGTAGGGAAAGAAATTTGAAAAGAACGGTGGTTGACTAAATTGAATCTTACATCGAACATGCAATTCGATATTAAATCAAATGTATTGTGTATTGTTGATATTTGCTCGTTCAGTTACGTTGCGTTCGAGTGAGGCAAACGTAAGCGAAAAAAAGCCAACTGTCGGACCGTAAGAACAGCCGGTGTTGAAAAAGTGAATCAAAAAGCTGTTTATAGATAGATGAGTGCACACACTCGACAACAGGAGCAGCCGTATGTCGTACAAGTACGCAACCAAATACAAATACCAGCGACGAAAAAAATACCAGCGACGAGAATACTCTCGGAGCGTTTATCCAAATTTTATGTCGTTTCGTGCATGTGTGTGTTGGTGAAAAACGCATACATTGTTCGAAGCGCCTCATGATATTGAGATTATGAAAATGGTCGACAGTTGATGGTGTGTCGTATTTGTGTAAATTGTGCTGACAATTCAGAAAATTTTCCTTTAGAGTTCAAGTGATTTTTTTCTGCTTTCGTAAGTCGCACGGTCTCTCTCTCTCTCTCTCTCTCTCTCTCTCTCTCTCTCTCATATACACACAAGCACACGTACACATAAACACTCAAGAGAGGAACCATCATTTCTATGTAATGTGCACTCTCGCTCTCGCTTTTTCCATGTATTTATCTCATTCGCTCTACCCATTTCGGATGATTTCGATTAGTATTGCTCTCGTTTTGAACTCCGCTCTGTAGTTGTTTGTTTTAAATGTAAAATACGGTCTACTCGGCACTGACTGACTGACTGTGTAATTCGTCGAAAATTTCTTTAGACGTTCTCATTTATAACATTATAGAAAATACATACTCTCAGGCTCTCTTTCGCGGAGCGCATTTTCGATTCCCATTGCGTTTGTATGTCTCTGTATCGATGTGAATCGATTATGTGTATTTGTGCTCGCACTTCTCTCTGTCTATATTACACACAAATAACAAATTTTCAGTGTTCAATGAGCGACCGCTGACTTCGAATTATAAGTAGCTAAACAAAAAAAAATCATACACACAAAATTATTATTAATTTATAAGTTACTTTAGTATTTTTTTATTTAAAAAAAGAGCAACTCTTCCTATTGTGAGTTTTTCCGTTTTATTTTTTTCAACAAAATATTATTTGCCTCGTCGATCATCGGCCGCTTTCGATGCATATATTTACATGGACATTATAAAACGGGGAATTTGTGATGTGTGCTGTTTAAAATGAAATTTCAGTGTGTATTACTGTGTTTAATTCGTTGTCGCCTTATGTACAGTGTTTGTCATTAAATTGCCTTTTTTGACTCTTAATAAGTGAGAAATTTTATATTTTGACGTATTTTTTGTTTTCATTTCATTCAATTCGTTTTCGAAACTTTTGAATTCCATTGGGGTTATTTTTGTGGTTCGTGTTTAAAACGTTTTGTCATAAATAATCTCTCAATTTTGTAATGAAAAATAAAAATGTACAATTATCGAAAATGTTCGCCGACTGTGTATTGTGACATGACATTTTTTTCCTCAATCATTTTCCGAATGGTTTAATCAGTTTTTTAAAACTATATCACAATCAAAAGAAGAAAATTATGCAGTTGCCTTGCATTAGAAGATAAAATTAGAAAATAAGAAGAAATAACCGAAGAGATAGAGAGAAAAGGTTATAAAAATGGAGTGTATGTGAATCTGTGGCTCGACTAGATGATTAGTGCGTGCACGCAGAAAAAAAATCTATATAATAAAAACCGAGCACACGAACGGACCGAACGAACGAGAAGAAAGAGAGAGAGAGAAAGGGAGTGCAAGAGATGACAGTAAAAAGTATGAACAATGTCGTAAATAAGTACGTAATATATTGCTTATTGCCTTAGAATAAAATGTAGGGAGTTGTTCAGACATTATTTGTTGTTGTTTTTTCTAAGCACGATTTTCGTGCACGGAACACTACAACAATTTTTCTATGTTATCATCGCTCGTCGTTGTTGTTTTTGTTGTGGTTTTGTGCTTTTAAAAATTTAGTGGTGTGTCGTCCGATTCATTGAAGTTTGATGATGGAGATAGAGATTCAAATCACATTGCAACAGCCGTCGTCAGGTCAAATCTCTCTCGAATTAGATTTTGCAGTGGACATAGAACGTCAGCATTATTTACATTTTGTCATAAAATAGCCAGGTGCTCCATTTTTTTTTCTCCTCCTAATTTTCAGTGCACACAGTTTCTTTGGCAGTGAACGTTTTTGTCGTCGTTGTCGTCATTGCAATTTAGCAAACGGTGTTACAATTTACATTGAAAATGTTTTTCTTTTTCTTCGTCAAATTTTCTGCTAGTCTCAGCTAATAATCGCATCATTTTCAACCGTTTTTCGAAACAAAAAATACGAACAAAATAATAATATTGCAAAATTGAAACGATGTGTGTGTATTTAAATACCAAGCATTCCGAAATCGAATTTTTATATCGCGCTGCTGTGTGAACGATTGGTACCGTATATTGAATCTCTCATACGGTTGATCACTTAAGTGTATCTGTGCGTTAATGCCCCGTCGTCGTCGTCGTTGTCGCCGTTTTTGTTATTGCTGGTGTCGATTCGCTTTTTTCAATAGAATTTTGCGGCTTGTTCCTCTCGTCTCTATGATTTATTTTAATAAAAAATATTTCATTTCTTCTGGGCTCTTCGTTTAGCTTAAAACGAAATAATGTGGATTACGATTTCATTCGCCATTTTGTTTGTTTGTGTATGTGTATTTGCGTACGTTCAGTGTGTTTTCTCCTCTGTCTTCATTTCATTCGTTAACTATACTCCTTAACTAATATCACACTCAACATATATATTAATGTGTACGAATAACTTATAAAGCATTTTTTCTCTTGCCGTAATGTGTATAGTATTTGTAGACAGAAAGATTAAAAATGGAGTGCACGACAGCCGTCGTATTCGTATGACTACAATGGGGTACCCTACATATACATTTCCAATTGCACCGTACGGCAAATTGTGCATTGTGAAACGTACACGAACGAACCAATATAGTGAACACGAATAACAGCAACAAAAATATATATATGAAATAAAGCGGTGAAAAGCGAACAAAAAATGTATGCATGCAAACACAAAGCAAAAAAAGAGGTTGTTCGCGAGTAGAAAGTGCCACAGTCAAAGTCGTCCATGTTGAATGAATGAGCAAAATAAAAAAAGTAACACAAATTCTGACCATAACTTTTGCATTTTATTTGTTCAAATTAATTAAAGACGAGATTTATTGTCTCTATACACTTATATTCTGCTGAAATGACTTTTGTCATTTTTAATGCCGGTTCAAATCTTTCATCTGAGTGCAATTGCCGAATTTCATCGAAATTAGTTATTACAATTTTCTACGAATTATTATGATGAAATTAGTAAGCATCGTCATCATCATCATATTTCACACGATTTCATTTGTGATTAGGTTCAATTTATAAGCAATTTTCACCTAGATAAATAATACTGAATCTAACTGAATTCTTATTCAATTTCTTGTTTTTTCAGATGTCTGCCGGTACACAGTTGCAGATGGCACCGCAAACAACAGTAGTTCAAGGCGGTCAACAGACAACAGTTCATAACCAGGACTCAAATATGAGCACTGGATCCTCTCACAGTGATAAAGAGGTTGAGTCTGCTGGTACGCCTGATAAAATTTCCCGATCAACATCCGAAAGAAAACGTAAACGAAAAGCGTTAGATGATAATAGTGGTGAACGGTGTGGTAGTGATCGTAGTTGCAGTAATAATGGCGGTACCGGTTTAAATGCTGGCGGTTTAGGAACAAATAATACAATTCAACAGCACATCCACAATAGCAAAGGTGCGAGAGTGGTGTTGCCGTTGCCACCAGAAAATAAGAAAATCAATGACTATTTTAAGCACACTGGCAACAGTCCGATTCGGCAACAAGCGACCGGCGGTGCAAAAAGTCCAAATTCACAGCATGGTTTTCCAATGTATGCGCCGACCACACAATCACTTCAAGGTGTCATTGGGCCACCAGGTGTCGTTGGTACACAGGATTTCTTCAAAAATCGCAACACTTCCAATATCATTTCATCAGCCCAATCTATGCAACAACAATTGGTCCAATGCCAACTGCCACCACCACCACCACAACCACCACAATTACAACAAACAGCAAAAGTGTCACAGTCCACCCAAACCGATCTATCGCTACAAGATATGGTCGAGCATAATTGTAATTTGGAAGAAAGTAAAACCAAAGTGGAAGAATTGACACGATTGTCCGAAGAACAAAAATGTCAGCTCAATACGCACCAGAAACAAATCGATCAGCATAAAAATCATATTAACAAGTGCATAGACGTAGTCAAAAAATTACTCATGGAAAAGAGTAATATTGAAAAGAAGGAGGCACGGCAAAAGTGCATGCAAAATAGATTAAGATTAGGACAATTTGTAACGCAACGTGTTGGCGCAACGTTCCAAGAAAATTGGACTGATGGTTATGCGTTCCAGGAATTAGCACGACGGCAAGAGGAAATTGCAGCCGAACGCGAAGAAATTGATCGCCAAAAGAAAATCCTAGTGAAAAAACGACCAACGAATCCAGAAACTGGTCGCAAACGTAACAATTCCACGACCACACAACAACAACAACAGCAGCAATCAAATAATCAAACCGCCAATCAATCGGGTTCCAGTGTGACGAACAATTTACACAATGGCAGCGATGCCACATTTTTAAAACCCGACCCAGTATCCGGTAGCTATACTATGCAAGAATACTATGAGTGTGATGAAATTTTAAAGCTGAGACAGAATACGCTTAAAAAAGAAGATGCCGATTTACAATTAGAAACTGAGAAATTAGAACGTGAACGTAATTTACACATTAGAGAATTAAAGCGGATACACAATGAGGATCAAGTGAGTGTTTGTAGACAGACACGTTCGTCTTCTTCTGTTTCTTTTATGCCTATTAATTTAAGTTTATAAATCTGAAGAAAAAAAACTAATAACCAATCCATTTTAAAAATCTTTATTTACAGTCTCGATTCAACAATCATCCAGTATTGAATGAACGATATTTACTGCTGATGCTGCTTGGTAAAGGTGGATTCTCTGAAGTGCACAAAGCATTTGACCTAAAGGAACAGCGATATGTGGCATGTAAAGTGCATCAACTCAATAAAGATTGGAAAGAAGATAAAAAGGCGAACTACATTAAGTGTGTATCACAAAATTTCCGCATAGAATTCATTTGTTATTTAAAACAATTGACTAATATCAATATCGTTATTTTAATTATAGGCACGCATTACGAGAATACAATATCCACAAAGCATTGGACCACCCTCGTGTGGTTAAATTGTACGATGTGTTCGAAATAGACGCAAACTCATTTTGCACAGTTCTAGAATATTGTGATGGTCATGATTTAGACTTCTATTTGAAGCAGCACAAAATGATACCAGAACGCGAGGCTCGATCGATAATAATGCAGGTTGTTTCAGCGCTTAAGTACCTGAACGAAATAAAACCACCCGTTATTCACTACGATCTAAAGCCGGGCAACATTCTACTCACCGAAGGTAATGTGTGCGGTGAAATTAAAATCACCGATTTCGGTTTATCCAAAGTTATGGACGAAGAGAACTATAACCCGGATCATGGTATGGATTTAACATCACAAGGCGCTGGAACGTACTGGTAAGAACCACATCATCGATACCTATCCATTCGATTCATTTACTTCAAACATAATGCTAACGATCACTACTGTTCGATTCACTTTAGGTACCTACCACCGGAATGTTTTGTCGTTGGTAAAAATCCGCCAAAAATTTCCTCAAAAGTTGATGTATGGAGCGTAGGCGTTATATTTTATCAGTGTTTATATGGAAAAAAGCCATTTGGTCATAATCAATCTCAAGCGACAATTTTAGAGGAAAATACAATATTGAAAGCGACTGAGGTGCAGTTTTCAAATAAACCAACAGTATCGAATGAAGCAAAGGTAATCATCATTAATAGAACAATACTCAATATTCTGTAAATATCTCCGTCAGAGATAACAACGCAATTTTATAATTTTAAAATCGTTATTTTTAATGCGGAATTTGATGAAAAGTCGTATGAATACAATGAACACATAGTAATGAAACGTAGCTCGTGAGATTTTGTTCAAAATGAGTATAAGGCGTTCTATTCGAAATTCAAATTTCACGGCATGTTAAACTGATTTTTCAAAAAATGTGATTTATTTACGTTTTTTACAGAGTTTTATTCGAGGCTGTTTGGCTTATCGTAAAGAAGATCGTATGGATGTATTTGGATTGTCAAGGCATGAATATTTGCAACCGCCGGTTCCCAAACATGGAAGACAGCAGCAATCGACTGGTAGTGGCAGCGGTAGCAGCGGTTCAAATGCAAACAGTGGCAATAATCAACAAAGTGGTGAGTCTATTATGATTAGAATAATATGTTTGCAGCGAGCCCTTCCAATGTGAATGCAATTCTAAAAATTCGATTTTCTTTTGGTAACATTGCAGGTAGCTCACAGCAAAATCAACCCGCATCATTTTCGGCCGGACTCTTTGGTAATATGAATCAATCGAGTTCGTCTTAGCTGTTCATCTAGCATTCAAATTCATAGACTTAACAAGTTACTGCGCGAAAAAATGAGATCGAAGCAGAGAAGAAATATGAAAATGAGAAAAAAGATGAGTCGAGTGACAAAAAACTGGACACGATGAAGAAATATGAAAAATAATGAAGCAAATTTCAGATTTTAGTGACATAACATAATTTAAATCTAATTGAAGTAAACTAAAAGAATGATAAAAAAAAACAAAAAATTAAATAATCATATTTGAAGCATATAAACATGGAGAAAAAAATATGATAATAACAGCAAAAGCAAAACAAAACTGAGCAGATAATCGTTTTTAATGCAGCATTTGAGCATTTGATACAAAAACATGAAGCGAGGAAGGAATGTGAAAAAAAATTATCGATGAAAAAATATTTTTAAAAATTTATTATACTTATTATGCATAATAAATGAGGAAAAGCAAGGGAGGAATGATAAGCCAAAACCAAGTGGTGTCGATAACAAGAGCAAGTAGATGAGTGCGAAAATTCGTAGGTGATTCAAAGTGAAATTGCATTGAAAACAGAGAAAACAACATTGAATAATTGTTAGGCGCATCAATAATATATATCACAAATGAGAACGACATAAAAACAAAAGAGAGAAAAAAACCGAAAAATGAGGAGAAATTGCACACATTCACTCAAAAAAGATACAAAAAACGTACATATTGGTATAGAAAACAAACTGTATGGATGATATTCCTAATCACCATTGATGATCGGAATTATGAAAGATTAAAGACAATGAAAAAAAAAAAAACAACATTGTGAGACAAACTGTAATTTATACAATAATCTGAAATCTTTGTTACAAAAAGTGAAAAAAGAAATCGAAACAAAAGAAGAAAAAAACACACGAATAACAAAATAAAAAGCATAAATTATATGTGTATTCATATCAAACAATTTATTCATTTTTATTTGTGTTCAATTGTAAAAGACTTCCTTTTTTTCAACCTAAACAATGCATTTGTCAAGTCTATTCAAGATCTTGGTCGCTGGCCATTTTGATCGCACGTGCAAAAGACTATTTAATATTTTTATTGGATCAAAATAATCGTTGAATTTTTCTCTATATTTTTTTCTGAAATAGATTGATGATTTGTGTTTTACTTATCGTCTGTTTCGTTTGTACAGAAAAGTCATTCATTGTAAAAATGCCAATAATTTTAATAGAATTCGTTTTTTGTTCTTTTTTTCATTGCTTCGAATCAACTATGTCAGTAAATAATAAAAACAAAGTGGAAAAATAACACACGCAATAGCCAAAATGGAAAAGTCGAAATGAAAGTTTAGAGAACAAAATCATTACGTATTATAACCATACACAAACACATAAGCGTTTACATACATACACACAATCTCTTTTCGTTGACATGATAGAAATCCATCACATAATATTAGGATGAGAAAATAAACACAAATGAAATAGGAGAAGAAAGGTGAAAACACGCCACATACAGTATGCCCTTGGAAGAATACAAAACCAATTTCTATTGTTACACATTTTATTATTGTCCCCATAGAGTCAGATTGAAATCGTTCATGGTATCACAGATATTCATTAGTTCATTGAAAGAGAAGACGGTTTAATCTATTGATTCCTATACCACTCCACAAAAACTAATAATAATTATATGTGTTTTCCCCGGATAAAGCAGAGAAACAACCGAACACTGTCCACAGCATTAAACATAAAAAAAACGAAATACTTATCATAATCTTAACAATAGAGATCGCAGTAACGAAAATTCATTCATACGTACATTTAAAATAACCACTAAAATAGGGAAAAATGCGAGTATAAAGAAGATAACCCGCAACGACATGAAATACCACAGACAAGTAAAAAACAGATTCAACTTAGAACAAGTCTTAAATGTATAAGAGAAAACGTGAGATAGAATGAAAAATTATCTGTGAATACTTGAATGATGAAATGAATTAAAGTTTCACTCATTTGCGAGCTAATTTGTATCAAAATAAAAACATAAACATTGAAAATAAGATTTACAAAATGAAAAATTACCGCATAATATATAAATCATCGCTGAAAGAAGAAAAACAGAAAACATATAGTTGTTCCCCGGATAAAATTTACTAACAGAGAAACAACTTACCACATACATCAAACACAACTTATTACATAGATTCTTAATGCATTCTCGATTTTCGTAGATGAAAAATAAAAAAAAATCAATTGGCTAACACACATGCGATTGGGTAACACACAATCACTTTTCTTATCTTGCGGCATCGATGCTGATTTTTTTCCAATGATAATGCTATGTGGTGTCGATAGAACCCAATACATAATTGTGTGATCACATATAATGGGGTTCAAATTAGTCTTTGATAGTTTTTTTGGCATTCCTTCAATTTAGACGATAAATAGTCAGCAACAACAATAAACACAGAAACGATATTGCTTCTCAACCAATTTTAATTTATGATGGCATATTGTCATTTTATCGGTTTAATATTTTTATAATTGCATATGGTCACACACTTGTTTATGTTTCGTTCCAAAATATAAGAAAATGTGAGGATTATAAATGCCTGTAAGACACAATCTATCATATTGTCGAACACATTTTCATTAAAATCGCAAAGAAACAAAAAAAAAAACTAAATAATCGAAACGAATGACATCATCACTCTCCGCAGTTTATTACAGAAGGGGAAACGAATAAAATCACACACACACAACACCACCAGCACCACCAATTAACAACAACACATTTATTGTATTTGTATGTATGTTTCATTGTATAAAACGAGGAAAGAAAAAGGAAATACGCAACTTGTATAGATTGAGAATGATAAAATGAATGAAAATACATAACGTCAAACGTGTGTTAAAAGAAAACATATTGTATTACAACTATTTTATCATTATTGCTGCTGTACACTGAATACACAAACACATACACTGATGCGCCCGACGTGCATCAAAATCTCCCAAAATGTAAAGCAACAAAACACAGATACACAGATATGCAAATTACGAAGAGATATATACAGATTCTGAGATATCGGACAGATAGTGAAGCGAAAATATAAATAAATTTAAACTTCAAAGTGACAAAAAGAATCAAGAAGATATATGATGAAAAGAGATTTTCCGTTTTTTACGTACATTTAAATGAATACTATGAAACAAATGAAGATAAACAAAACGACATGGGAGAAATTTACAAGAATTTTCATCTCATTGGAAAAAATGTAACACTTAACAAAAGTGAATGGAAAACTTCAAAAAATACAGTTGTAATTTTAAGTTTTATTTTGCCTCCAGCAAAGATCCTAGGTTATAATATTCTTCTTTTGGTTCAATTAATTAATTATTATTATTATTATTATGGTCATTATTATTATTATATTATAATTCTTATATAATATATTATTGAAATATGATGAAGAGAGACCGAAAAACGTGAAAAGAAAAGAATACAAGTTACAAAAACAAATGAAAATGGATTAAATTCAATAAAAATTCAAAACAAGAGAAAAATCCAAAAAGTCATACATCAAAAATATTTGAACTATATTTGATTTCATTTCTATTTATTTTTATTTTTTTTGTTCGTTGATTATTTGCTAAAAAACAATTGGCCATTTCTTTTTTCAACAGGATTGAATTTTATTTAGGTATAAGTATACTTATGTCCGTAAGAATAAATATGACAATACAAAAACGGAATCTGAAGAACGTTACATAATTTTTTTTACATAGTACAACTATCCATACAAAAAAAATTATGTAACGTTCTTCAGATTCCGTTTTTGTATTGCCATATTTATTCTTACGGACACACTTATAGGTTGTGAGCGCCCGACTGTAAGCTGAAAACTTTTGAGAAGTGGTACACGAAGGTGAAAATGATCCAAAATCGTACTTTGAAAGTACCAATTTCAAGGAGTTGACGTCAATGCTCAGAACTAGTCATGTTTTTTTATATTTTACTTTATCTCTTCATTTTTATAGAAAAATTGGAGTAAACATGTGCCTGTGAGAATCAAACAAAAATTGGTAAAATCAAATAAAAAGTTTCATTTTGTTTTATTTCTGGAAAAAAATCATGTTGGAAACGGTCAACTTTTTTCCTTTGAAGTGAATGTTTGTTATCAATATCTAGATATGTAAAAAATCCTTTGTTCAGTCTATGGAAAATAGTTCGTGGACTAGGTCAGATGTCGTTAAACCAAAGACGATATAATATCTTGAACCAAAACTACATTTATCTCCTTTCATCAGAATCATGCAAATAAAGAACAACAACTTTATAAACATTCTCGATTAGCATATTGATTGTGTAGAATTAGTGAACATAGAAAACAAAAAATATAAATGATACACACACCATTCATTACAGCATTTAAAAAACAAACAAACGATATCATCAAGACGAAAAAATACAGTGAATTTTTCAGACAGCTCAATGTATTTACTAATGACCTTATGTCTTCTTAACTCATTAAAATAGACTAAATTATAATTGTATCTAAAAAACAAAAAGAAAATGTCTAATAACTATGAACAAAAATTATGGAAATTAAATTAAGAAGTGAAATAAAAAATGAGTGGCGAAAAATATCTTTGGCATGACATGGAGTGGAAGTGCGAGAGAGAAAGAATCTAAAAAAATGTGATGAAGATATATATTGTAGCACTTTTCAATGATTGACAACAAAGTTGAATTGGAATGAATCAATAAATAGTGTTGTGGAGGGGTGCTATTAACTAATTGAATTTCAATGTCAAAGTAAATCTTGTGTTTTTTCTCTGGGTCGAAGTAAACCTATCAACGAACCTAGCAAATAAAACTGCATTTCCATCTTGACATTAAGAATGGAGAAAATGAGTTTATTTTTCGTTGAATTTAAGCCTCGTTCAGTCACTGTACTTCAGTGATTTGTACATTTCAGTCTAATTCTACACACCATAATTTTCTAAACGCGCACATATAGACTTGATTTGCTCTTGAGCATAAATCGAAAACTTCACAAACTACTTCTACCCAATCTATCTTCCCTTTGTTCCAGAATGAAAATTATTTTTTCTACGTTATAATGAAATTTTAGTTTTTTCTAGCCAAAGATCTATCCAATTTATAGGTAAAAATAAATGAAAAAAATAACAAAAAATCGAGATGAACACAGAAACAGAACTCAAATAGTTGCAAATAGGTGCTCTAAGCGCGATACATTTCGAATGAGACATTATTATATATTATATAGACGTTATATAAAACAAAATGACGATAACAACTTTTAAATTTAAATAACTTAAAAAAAAACAAGAAACCAATCACGTTACAAGTGAACTAATGAATTAAATAGTGAGAAAACACACAACCAAATAACATTCTTTATTGATATTCACATAATAATGGTCAAATAATATTGACGTGAAAAACCAACCAAATGTGCATGAATATCCAAATGGGCATGCCAAAAAATAAAAGCAAAAAAAATACACGAATAAACATATTTTGTAAATAGTAAAATAAATTTGATTATTTGGAAGTCAAGTGGGATTAAAAACAATGAAACAATATTTAAAATGGGAATAAACATACTGCAAAATGATATTGATTTTGGCCACTATTCTTTTGTATTTTTCCAGATTTGAATTCGTGACTTAAAAAAGTAGGTCGTAAATCGATTTTACCAAAAAGACATTATTTTTTTTACTTTTAATTGAATTTTATTTTATTTTTATGGTAACAAACTAGCAATTAGTAATTTTTCAGAAAAGTTAATTTTTAAACGTTTTCGATTAAATAAAAAACTAAACATAGAATGATTTTTAGATAGGATAGATTCGTAAGATCTCCGCAAGATCCGGATCCAAGCGTGCGTACGTAGCCGCATGATACATACATTCGTTATTTCGTATTGCTATGGCATGCGAGTCAAAGTAGGCGAAATAAGAAGAATGAATTTGCGTGCGTATTATATATGTATGCATCATGCGGCAGCGCACGCACGCTTGGATCCGGATCTTGCGGAGATCTTACGAATCTATCCTATCCAAAAATCATTGTATGAAACTAAATCAAATGAAATCGTCTTCGAACCATTTCCATTCTCGCTGACATCAGCGTTAAGTGATAGTATCACTGTGATACTTACCTAAGCTCGAACTCAAATTTTGAGTACTTCATTACTCAATTATTACTTTATTTCCACTTCGATTAGTGAAAAAGAGAAATCCGAGACAAATCTTAGATAAATCAAATCTTTATTTTGAAACAAAACATTAAATAATTGATGTTATAAACAAAATATCTTTTATCATTTGAATGGTCAATGCGCCGGTTGAATTTTTGATTTCAAAAACATTGGAAATCGATGGTCAAACGCTTGGCTTCCAGTACATAAATAATATAATTGATATTAGCGGCATCAAGCATGCGTTCAATGTAATTTATGATTTGACTAAGAGATGAAAAAAAATCGAGAGAAAAACAAAATTAGATTCAAGTAATTGGCATGTCTTGTGTTCAGTTCTCGATACAATCGCAGATTTGCGTAAAGATTTTTTGAAAAAAAAGAACAACATTTTTAATTTTTTATTTACAATAATAACAATAATACCGATAGTTCACCAGAAAAAAATTCACTTCGTGTTGTTTACGTTGTTTCTTTTTACAGATATCAATGTTTGACAAATACATATTTTCTCCACGTAACCACCCGTGTACAAAAAAAGTGACTGACTATTTTGGGACAAACTGACTGACTATTGACTGTAAAAACAAGCAACCTTAGTTAAATTTAGTTAACTTCAATCAATTAAAGTAAGCTATGGTTAACTGCAACAGCTAACTATAGTTGACAATAATCATAGTCACCCGATAGTCGAAACGTCCCAAAATAATCGCCTGACTGACTGAGTAACTATAGTCGATTGTTTTTCATACAACATTTTAAAATTCATGAATATAGCTAACTATAGTCACTTACAGTCAATAGTAGCTTAGTCACTTTTTTCCACTCGGGCATCTCTACATGGTCCACAAAGCAAAGCTACCTCATAACACGAGAACCATATAATATAAAATATTTGTGTGTTTTTTCAATTTTGTTATTTATAGGGTAATGGGGGCAGAGTGATACACGGGGCACACTGATACACCCCAATTTTTTTTTAAACGGTAACACAAAATGTCAAACTTTTGTTGTATTCAAATCAGCTGTTAATTGTACAGTCAAATTTGTGTTTTCGGCACATACCGTTACCATTTTTTCACACTTTAGAATCTCGATTTTTTTAAATTTCTTTTCATATGCCAGGATTGAGGTGAATATAATTTGTTGCTATTAAAGCCTGCTTTCATTTAATAATAAATGTTTTGGATTTTATCCACGCGTTGCTGGAAAAATTCGACCGAAAGTGAAAAACATGCCTGGGGGCAGAGTGATACACTTTGTTGGGGGCAAAGTGATACAGCAGTATTTCGCAATGTTTGCAATTTTTATCATTTCTAAAATATTTTATTTGGCTTTTTTTCGTATTTTATGTATTTTCTTAGTACTTGCATGAGATTTCTACGCATTATGTTTTTAAATTTGGTTGATTTTTAAACAAAATTCGAGGATCAATACGTAGATTGAACATGTTAGCATTATGTTTT